TTTTAAAATACAGTAAGATCTTTTATGAGTTATAAGACACAGTTTTGGCTTTTAACTTTATTTCAACAAGCATGTCTGTAACGCATACGTCAACAAAATACATTATGAATGCTTGAATCAAGTTACGAAATTTTCTGCTTAATATTGCGTAACTTTGTTCTTACAAGTATAAATTTTATATAAGTACTTTCTTATTTTGATTAATCTGTATTTTCTACTAAATGATTCATAGTTTTACATTAAATTATATAGATAAAGATTTGATTTGTCATTCTATTTCCGCACATGATACTGAAACATTTTTCTGCATTTTCAGTATTTTTTTCCAGCAATATTGAAATACAAATGTGTATACAAAATACATTTCAATTTTGTGAACGATAGATTTCAAAGAATCGCCTTGAGACACTGTGTTAGTGTCAGACGTTACTGTAATTAGCATCCATTTTTCACATTTTTTGCATACGTTTTTTGTAAAATCAGGAAATTATCATAAACGTGGAGCTTGTTGCAAGCAACAGAAATCGTTACGTCAGATAGATACAGTTTTTTAAGTCAGTCTGAATCATCAATTTTGAAACTTAATGATTAACCGACTGCCAAAATCAATTGAATAAAAGCATTTTTAATTGATTTTGAAATTCGACATAATTCCTGTAACACTGACATGTAATAAAGAATGGTTAAACAAATAAAACTATATAACAGAGTTGTATTATGAAAATGTAATGTAATTTTGTATTAATGTAATTGAATTATTTCATATCATAAAATATATAATGTAGAATTATAAATGGGTTGTAGTCATATAGTGAATGGATTATAAAAAAAAAAAACGTGATTCTCTGTTTCCTCTATGAATGAACCGGTCTAACGACGCTCTATGCAAATTGCATAGGCGATAAATACAGATCATATGTATAATACTTTTTCACTCTGTTGTTTATATTGATAATTTTTTTTTCGGCGTTAATTATTCTATTTCACTCGACGATTTGTCATTCTAATTAATTCAAGATTGCAATCATGTCGTTGGTTTCCGGTTATGTGCCGCTTATTATCAAGGTAACTGAGTTTTCAATATCACAGTTCTGTTGTTTTGTAGCTAACGTTTCTAATAAAACTGGAATAAAGATATTTACATAAATATTTTTTACTCATATTTCTCTTGCCACGAATATTTAATCAGGAATTATGCAAGAAACGAAAATGCATTATTATCTAACGTTTGCCTACTAATGATCATTTTATGAACAGTTAGATCACTATTGAAAATGTCTAGTAATTTCGTTAAATCTATTCAAGTAATTCGTGTTTTTGAAACTTACCGTTACCTTACCACCTTTTTAATTCATGATGATTTTACATTAATTAAAGTTATTTTATTAAATAAATGTATTAAATAAAAATATATTTTATTAAGTAAATTACATTAATAATAAGACATTAATATAATGGTATTACGTACTATATCATTGGTCATAATGCATTTTGCTGGTAAACGAACTTATGCGATTATACACTGTGCGAAGATTACAAGAACATAGCTTAAACAATAATTATTATCTTCGTTGACGATAGAGTAAGTAATATGACCAATTTGCTGGAGACCAGAAATTCCAATAAATTCACTTGAGAGTAATTCAATCTAAAAATCGATCATGCACAACCCTTTCATATTAATATGGGGATCGTCGTGGTGGGTTAAAACAGATCATCCTCAGGTCACGTTGGCTACGTCATACTCGCAGTTGCGGGTTCGATAAATCCTTGACGCTTTATCATATCGATGTTTAAGGAAGTAGACGACTGGGCACTTGACATACATATTATAAAGACCACTATGTAATTAACAAACACAAAAGAAACAGCAATAACATGAAAATACATAAAGTGTGCTGCTAGCACTTTCACATAGTGTTATTATTTTTCCTGTAAATATCAATTTCGCCTGGCGGCCATCGATGACGTTGCTGTGTAATTTGGCTAATCGCAAATCGTTAAAGACAATAACAGTATACATAATATGTATTCCCATAAATTTTTCGTCAATACATGTACGTAATGAATAAAATAATGTATAAATTATGGTAATTCCATTTGTTACCATGAATCAACCGATTAAAAGTTAAATTAAATTGATCGTTTCATTGCATTACGATTTTTCTTTATTTCACACCGATCAAGGTTTGATAATTCGCTCCGGCTTTTTCCATGTTCTTTGTAAGTAGCTTTTATTTTAAGAGGATTAGGGTTGTGTGCGCGATATTACAATCGTATCAGCGAATACGCCGGCAAACAAAGAAATGGAATTTGCCAATGCGTCTTCACCCTGTTAATACTCTACAAATTTGGGAATATTCGTCAAATGTTTACCAGGCATTAAAGAATAAACGCACGCGACATTTTTCGGCACGATCTCGTTTGCACAATTTAATAATTAAACATATTTAATTTAGTATCAAGAATACAAATCCCGTTATTCATTAGGAAGTGTTTTACTATGAAACTGAATACGATTAAAATAAATAGAGTTATAGATAATCCTATTTTATTAGTTAAACAACATGATTAGTTCACCGTATCATTTTGCCTCCTGTCACTGTGATCTTATAGAGCAATGAGATCATAAATAAAAGATCAGGTAGGTGCCGGGATTCTCGTTCTCCATGTGTCTCCTGCGAGACAAGGAACAATGATGGTGATCGGACTTCTTGGCGCGGGTGGTGGCGACTTTTTTCCGCTTCTTTTCATCGCCTATCACAAGAACGCGATTTGCATGAGGGGCAACCTGTTCTGCCCCACCAGCGATTTACGCACACGTTGCAGGTGGGTCTCGCGTTCGGCTGATTTTAAATATAAATTTTAGTTTCGCGGCAGGCACGTACGGTGCATGCAGCTGAAACTACGCTTCGCTTTTCATAGTTTTACGGTGTACTTTCCAGTGGACGTCGACAGCGCTCGTTTCCTTTATATATTTTTATATTTGTCGTCGGTCGTCTTTTTATTTTAATAATAAACGATTATCTGAATAATAAACGATAAATCGTCGGTTGTGTTTGCGAGCGTTCGCTGTGAATTTTTTCGATTAATTGTCATCGAATCACCGAACCAACGAGGGTACGCAAGGGGATATTTAATGAATTCGTCGGTGAAGTATAGAAGTAAGTCTGCGCGACGAGTTCCTGTTATACTTTCGTGCTTTCATTTTTTTAATAAAGACGCAAAATTAATTAAATTATTCGTAAGTCCTTCTGCCATTCATTGACGGCATACGATTGATATTTTCTTATTGATTTATTAAAAGTTATTTTAAAAATAATAGTAAAATTGTTGTATGTGAAGTGATTTCGGTGGATGATTAATAATGCTACGTTACATGGAGAATATAAAAGCGTAAGAAAGTTGTCTCTATTAGAGATAATATTTTATGAGGAATTAACGCGTTAATATTGTTTTTGCTTCCGTTTATCGCAGCCGTCACGAAACGACTTGAAAAACGAGCACATCGCTCACCACGCGCCGCTCGGATTCTTTCAAAAGTCACGTAGAATTTCAGTTTCATGCAGTTTCATGTTTCACCGAACAGAATACAATGAAAATTGTAGCAACCGGCATACAGGATAAAAATATCAAGTCCAGTCTTCTGAATTAATTTGTAACGCCTGTAGCGAAAGAATCAAAATCCTTGAGTCTTTATATACAATATTATAAACAAATTATCTTTTGTGTCAGCATATAAAAAATTTCATTCAAGAATCGTTGATTAATTTAAATAATATAATACTGTAACCATTTAACACTCGTATATTTCTAACACCGATAAGGAGAACTATTAAAAAAAAATTGTCGTGTTTACTGCTTAGACTTTGTTGAAATATTCGTAAAATGTAGCTGAGTTTCAATAACATGTATTAAAGATTGATAACGCGTGCATTTAGGAGCGCAAGAAATACTTACGTACACTGTTGTCCGAGTTTTTTCACGTACAGACATTTCGTTTACGTTATTTAAAAATAACGGTATTGAAATCTATCCCGATTATTACATCAAACGTGTATGAATAAAAGCTTCAAGTAATTTGTAAAAATTACGTTCTATCTTTAAACAAACGAATTTATTATTGTAACTTATCATTCATAGATATTTTAACAGACATTCCTTATTTAATGGACCATGAAGTTTCCTCGGACAGTTACTAGTGAAAATCTAATCGCAGTAGTCGCGATTACGACACTGGAACGTAAAAAGTGCGATACATTATGTTCACGGGTATGACAGACGTAACGGGGCGCGTGCTGGAAGGATAATGGGTTTATTAATATTTATCTCCGTCGTTGCTCGAACATTGATTCCTCCCCTCACTGCGCTATGTCAAGGAATTTTCCCTATCGATTTGCATCCAGCTGATTTATCGATGTAACGCCACGCGTCGATCGATGGCCAGGAAATTGATCTGTTCAACTTTAATTAACCTGAATCATGAAATTAGGTGTTCACGTCCAGAATAAGTAGCCACGTCCTGCAATCCTGTGCTGAGATTTTCATTACTCTTTATGTCTCGTTTTTGAAATTATAGAATTATGTGTATGACTGACAAATCTATTTTATTATTCAAACGTTGTAGTACTCATTCGACTTTAAATGATTTGCCCAATAAGTGCCTCGTGTTGGCATGCTCGTTATAGTAGAGCAAGCGCTGTAATAAATTTTGAAGATGAATTTTTAATTATTTTTACAGAAATTTAAAATAATGTCATTATAGCCTACATAAGGCTGGACTGTGGGCTCTACTTAGCGCGCCACTGTAAGATGTACGATTCTCACTTATAAAGTGAAATTGACTGTAGGAAAAACATTATGAATAATACATCGAAATGCACATTTATTAAGCAGAAGTGTACAATATTTCATTTCAGGAATTTATTTCAATTCTAATTAAAACCGAACCCGTTTCTCAACTTGTTTTCGTATTTACGATACGAGAAATGTTAAACAGGTATAATCGTCAATGTATACAAACAGGTGTGTTGACCCAGAAACCTTGAATTTGCAAATTCTTCAGTTAGGCTGTGCACGCCATCATTCCACATGCTTGTCACGTATAAATTTTAAATAGTTTTAAATGTTGTAAGCATTGAACAAGATACCAGTTCGTATAATTAGTAGATAAATAATGGGGTTCAAACGAATTTTCGATTTGCTGACGATGTTCAGCTACAATCGTCTGCAAAGTATGTTACCCTTATCTTAAATTTATACGTTCTACCCTCTGTGAATCACGGTATGAATTGGGAAGGGAATACTGAAAGAATATATTCGATCGCAGGTGAAGACGCAGAGTCTGAGGAGACTGGTCCTGTAGATTTCGAACGGGCAATTACAAATTCTGGTAAGCCATTTACATAAATTATTCGATTAAAATTTCGAGAGTGCAGCCTTCAAAATGTTTGCATCGAAGATCCAAACAGCCTAATTCGTTTAATCTTTTTTATCTTCCCAAGTTATTTGCATCCCTATATAATAACGATACCACATGGTCATAAAATGAGATTTAGACTACTTCCCTCGACCTTGAAAAGAAACGATTTCGAACGAAGTTCTAAAATGATTTTTATCTACACGCTTGAATCTTTAAATGCATACGAAATCTCCTTTGAAAAAGTAGAGACTGTAAAAATTGATGTCACTGATTCTTATTGAATCATAAATTGTTTAGGTTATGGAAAATTCAACTATTTGTTGCTTCTGGCCGTGCTGCCGGCCAGTTTCTCCAGTATCTTCTCGTCGTCAGCGATGTCGTACGTCTTGCCAGCGGCCGAGTGCGACCTGAAGCTGAGCATGTTAGACAAGGGTCTACTGAACTCGATGACATTCGCAGGTGATATTACTCGTTTATCGGTGTTAGCCACGTAACCGCGGACGTGTAATTACAGGTTGAGCTTTAAGTCGCACAGAGAGCCGAAGCGCGCACTCGAGTACGCTCCGAGCTTTTCTGGTTCCGTAGAACGCTCGCTCGCACGGTACACGCTACGGGCTCGTTAGACTGAACGTGTGTAGAGAGTTACGGACATGGTAATTAAACGATACAGTCTCTTGTAATTGAACACGCGTTTCCTAAGTGGCTCGAATTTCAAATCGGTTTCGGGATCGACAAGACTCGCGTTTTTATCGAGACAGTTTCATTTCGTAAATTAGATTGTCCGGCCAGGTAAGGAAGAGAGGAAACGCTGTGTAGAAAATGGAATACACGTTTGATAAGTTGCATTTCTGTAAACAATAAACGAGATAGGATTTATAAACACAGAACGTTAAATATAACATTCTTTGACTGTATCACGATTTTATATATTGAATATTTTCTTTAAAGAATTCACGTCTATGAATTATTAACGAGCGATGCAGAATCCGGATTTCTGATCATCACTGAAGATCCGAATTGCTTCCAGGTATGATCTGTACTTCGTTCTTTTGGGGGTTTATGACCGACTCGTTCGGTCGTAAGAAGATAATGAGTTACGGTTACATGTGCACCGGAGTTTTGAGCCTGGCTGAGTCCTTCGCGCATACCTCCTGGCTTTTGATCTCTTTAAAGTTTGTCGAGGGTCTGCTGTAAGTTGGTACGAAGACGTTGCTCGAACAATTTCAATGACACACCCTAAAATTTATAGCATATCCGGACCGTACGCGGCTCTGATGTCTTACCTGGCGGAAGTACACAACGAGACCCATCGATCTAGAACGTACATGTGGCTGGGAGCATTTTTCTCACTCGGGAACATTTCTCTCCCCTGTGAGTCTTTCTCCATCGATTGTTAAACCTAGTGCTCATTTTATTACTTTAACTCATACGTAACACGTATTTCTTTATATTATATCATTTCTTGATCTTATCATATTCATTTGATTTCATTACACGTCCCTTCAGTTTACTTTTGTTCGCGTTCGTCCGAATGAAACCGCGGAATCGGTTGGTTCCAGGTATCGCATGGTTGATCTTACCACAGAAGTGGACTATCACCCTCATCAGCGGAACTATGGAGATCAGTTCGTGGCGGGTGTTTCTAGCAGTCTGCACGCTGCCAGAGTTCCTTGCCTGTATGGCGATGTTCTCGTTCCCCGAAAGCCCGCGCTTTCTTCTGCTGAAGGGCAGAAGAGACGAGGCTCTGAATGTGTTCAAAAAGATATACTCGGTCAATACCGGCAAGGATCCAGACACCTATCCGGTGAGTTATTTTCCATGAAACACGCGGTCCATCGTTTTTTATCTTATCGATGGAAAGGGGTGTGTTATTTTCATTGCCAGCTTAACGTGTTTTCTCGGATAGCGGTATTAATATATGGACCTTTGTTCCATTCGTAACTTCGCATAGATAGTATTTCGCGATTTGACAACGGCTCACTTTCGTTGACACGGGTCTATTGATCGATGGAATGTTCCTAAAATTCTATCAATATTTAAGATGCTTACTCCCATCTGATGTTTAATGAAACTTTATTGTTGTATATTTTGTGATTCATCTGCTGGTTTCGCATGTGGGATCAATGATAATCTCTGCTTGCAGATAAAGGATCTCGAAGATGAGGATTCTTTCGAATCGTCGAGCGATAATTTGTCGGACAAATTTCGTTCCTGTTGGCAACAAGTCAAGCCCTTGTTCGTCCCACCAAACATCTTAAGACTTATTACAATAAGTTTGATTCAAGTCGGCGCCACGATAGGGTCAGATTAATCTCATATTACTAAATGTATTATTATTATTGTTGATTTTATTTCTATAATTTCCGATTAATTTACTTAGCTAACACTGACACTTGCAAAATCTGCCTATTTAATTTTATTAAATCGTTTCGCTGAGTTCGATTGAATTTCGTGTTCGTAGATCGAACTCGATCAGACTGTGGATGCCGCAGTTGTTCACGATGATGGAACAGTTCAAGAAGGAATACGTGGACGACGAACATTTCGACTCGCAGCCGCGCTTCTGTTACATGTTAGGCCAACGAAAAGATAATGGGAGTTCCTCAAATAGCTTCGTAAACGAAACTCTAAGCATTGCTGACAATTGCATACCGGTATTGAAACATTTAAAATTATAGTTTTATCTTTTCAGAAGGATCAGAAAATCATTTCCATCGTTATCTTAAGTACCGTATAAGACAACGTCCCTGCACTTTATTTACGATCGCGATTTCTTGAAATCATCATACATTATGCATTCTTTGAAATGATCATTAAGAGCTCTGCTTCAAATAACAGTTTATAAACGCGACGCGTTTTCTCGTTTTTCTAAATCTACACTAAATCATAGATTAAGAATCTCTGGTATATTTTTGTGTATTTCGTTTCAGGCGGAGTTTAACTCGAAAGTGTTTATCAATTCCATCGTTATCGCGATTACCGGAGTTGTAGGATACACTTTAGCGGGTTCTCTTATCACCGTGATAGGAAAAAGAAAACTTATAGGTATTGAAACTCACAAGAATTCTTACGGTACTGAAAATTTTGAAACGTGACGATCTACTTTTTATTATCTTCAGCGACCTGCTTCGTGGTAGCAGCTGCTTGCTGTGCTTCGCTCTACTGGGCAGAAACCACGAACAGTATCCTCGCGTTATGTTCGGTTTTCGTTGCGATGGCCAGCATAGGCGGTGCCTGTGTTGTGAACGTTATCGTTGACAATTTCCCTACATGTTTGAGGTACACAGTTTTGAAATAAATTTTAGAAAATTGTTTCCGTCACCGATTTAATCGATTTGATTCAGGACGATGGCTGTGAGCTTAACTATGACGATCGGGAGAGTCGGAGCAGTTGCAGGCAATTTGCTATTTCCAATTTTATTCGATTTGTCCTGCTTGGGCCCTTTCATCATGATCGGCACTGCTTCTCTAGGTAAAATTTCAATAAATACTGCACAATATTTTCCTCTTAACAAATTCAGCTTAAACTTCAATACTTTTTAGTTTTAATTTTTACTCAAGACTTTTTATACAAAAGTTGTCCTTT